CATTCTGGGTAAACTTTCAGGCTCATACCAGCATGTGTGATGGTGGTTGATCAGAACAAGTTCTAGACAATGGAAGGATCATTTATAGACAGGATTCACTCTGTGAATGATCCTGTATCAAATGTACGTGAAAATATAACACTTTCAATATGAAATACTTGGTCACAAAAATGAAGAAAAAAAAAAAAGTTCTGCATAATTCATTATAGAGCTCAAAGATGGTACTTTTCATGAAGCTTCTTCTTTTATTTTTTTTTATTTTTTTCCCCCCCAAGATTTCAACTCCCGCATACTGTCCAATATTACAGATTCTGAATCAATGACATGATGAGAAATAACAGACAAAGTTTCAGGTTTTTATCTTTAATACTTCCTCAGATGTTGTTCTTCAAACAGCCTCAAATTTCAAAGGGAGAAAAACATCTGCTGGAAGTGGGTCGACAGGAAACAGGTTGTATCCGTGTCTCGTGTTATGAAAATGATCAAGATAATAAATGTTTCTCTGCAGATTGTCATCATCAAACAACAAACAATCGTCGACCTTTGTTGAATTATCAGATGAAAGACTTTCTGGTACAACCACAGTCTGACCTCCTGACCCCTAAACTTAACTCTACTTTCAGAGTTTTTCCACTCAGGAACAAGCTGCACTGCTCCAGACCCACTCATCTACTTCTCCAGTGAAGAAATCCTGGTCCAACCCTGTCCAGCTTTCCTTCCCCACAGTGACAGATGTGCTTCATGCAGCTGTCTTGGGGTCTCAGGAGCTGTAACAAGTCTCTGTTCAATCTGCTGCCTCATCCACCCAGCTGGCTCTTCTGTAATGGCTTCCATGGATTAAAATGCTGCCCTGCAAACACTAAATAACATCTGATTTCAATTTCAAATATAAACATATGTCTGAAACAACACTGGCAGTCATTTTGTGTGTTTACTCATCAGCAGCATGAAAAGAAACAAATCAAGTTTAAACACAACAGCTCATAGTCGACCAGCCAAACCCCAGAAAAGTCCTTTAGATTTAATTTTTTTCTCACAGAATTGCATGTAAATAACAGGCGTCCATGCAGGATTTTTCATGATTTTTCCAGTTTATGAAGGTGAAAATGATAAATATGAAGTTTATATAAAGGCTCAGATTGTGGGTATTGCCTTAGTTGATGTAATCTTTGATTAAAGATGTTTATAAAATTAAATGGTTTTACCAATTACGAGAAAAGTATCATGATTGTAAAGTAATAAAATTTACAACTAAACAAGAATGTGGATAATTACAGAGACCAGAATCACATCACATTCACAGCTGATCAGTGCTTCATCTCATCCTATATGCTTTAACTGGTCAGTAAAAGATGTATGACTTGTTTTTTTTTGTGATCAAAATTTTATTTGTTTTCCTTTTACAAGACAAATCATCCAAACATTAACGTAATGAAAAGTATAAGGACAAATACAAAAAAAAACAAAAAACAGTACATAACAATATAACAATAGCATTCGAACCCTCCCCTATCCCCCCAGAAAGTATATATACACATATTTGCATATACACACCCATATACTGTACATACACACACATATGCATATGCATACATATGTGTACAACATAAAACAAAAAAACACAAAGGGGGGGGGGGACAGGGTGCCACCTGGACCTTATGTAGACCAACATCAGAACATTAGATATGTAAAGCTCATTAAAGATTCTGCCCAATACAAGTACATGTACAAATATCAGTCGCCTTCCCTTATACAAATTGTTGTATAATTGTTGACATTATAATTGACAAAGGATTATCAAATCAAAGGTTCTTTCAGTGAGTCTGCTGCAGTTCTCCAGCTATGCAGAACAGTTTCTGAGGCTCCATTTATTCGAGCAGTTGATAATTCAAGATAGATAACATCCAAAAATGATAGAACCCAGTGTCTTTTGATAAGGGAGTGAGGGGGCTTCCATCTTACTGCAATCATCTTTTTAGCAGCTGTTAGACCAGCCAATACAATGCGCTTTTGTGACTTATTGATGTTAAGCTTTGACAAATCTCTCAACAGTAGTACAGACATGATCACTGGAATAGTCACGGAGCGCAAAACAGAGAGAGTGGGAGCCACTGTAGACCAAAAGTTTGAAACTGGTGGGGAGTCCCACATCATATGAAGATAAGTGCCAGGACACTTCAAAGGACATAGTGTGCACAAGGGATCACCTATCATTTTCATACAGTACAGTTTACGTGGTGTTAAATATGTTCTGTGAACAAAATTAAAATTAATCTGTTGGTGACCGGGATTGTGAGAGGCCTCTTTTCTGTTTGCCCAGACATCTTTCCAATTAAAATCAGGGCTCAGATCTGGACAGTCACGTCTCCATACACTTTCCATCGGTAGAGCTTGATAAGAAGCCTCAAGACAGCATTTATACAGGGTGGAGACCAGACCCCTGGATTTACCTAATGTGGTAAATAATTTATGAATCGGATGAATGGGCAGAGGTTGCTGCCATGGAACACCATATGCTTTGAGAGCTGACCTTATTTGCAGGTAAAAGAAGAAGGATGAACCTGGCAGGTTGAAAGCACCTTTGATGTCTTGAAAGGAACGCAGACCCATGTCATCAAAAACATCAGCTAAGTACTTGATGTTAGAATCACTCCACTGAGAGGATGACATGGGCCTGCCCCCAGTCAACAGATTATGATTATTAAACAAAGGCGACCATCTGTGCCACTTGCAAGAAATTTTACACTGGGATTTCATTGCTCTCCAGGTTTGGATGAGGTGTGAAATAATTGGACCAAAGCGAAGCTGACATTGCTTTCGTGATATATTCGCAAAGAGAATATTCCATGGTTGTGCCAAATTTCTCTCCAAGTTATACCAAGAAACTGAAGCATTGGGGTTATACCATACCATAAGTAGCCAGAGGGTAAAGGCCCAAAAATAAAACTTAAAATTGGGTAACGCCAACCCACCGTCCCCTTTGTCTCTTTGAAGCGTGGACAACTTCGGGCGTTTTGATTTCCAGATAAACTGTGAAAGGTAGGAGTGAATTTTATTTCAGTAGTTAACAGGTAGTGGAAGGGGGATCATGGAGTGAGTAAAACTGATTCTGGGTAAAATATTTATTTTAATTATAGAAACACGGGCTTGAAGAGAGTTGGGGAGATTTACCTACCTGTCCAGGTCTGACTTGACTCTGCTCAAAGCATCTGAAAAATTGCAATGTGAGTCAGAGATGGAAAGATTTGTACACCAAGGTACTTGAAGTTCTGAACTACGGGGATGTCTGTTGGATATTGCAACTTTTTGGCCGGATCACTTAATGGTCGAATGGCCTACTTTGTCCAGTTAATCCTAAATCCAGATAAGTGCCCAGAATCCTCACAAGAAGATAACAGCCTCAGGAGACTTTGGACTCGATTTTCTAGAAAAACCAAAATATCATCAGCGTATAGTGCCACCTGGTGTTGCGTGGTACAGATAGAAATGGACTGTACAGTATCGGATAGTCGGATCATTTGAGCCAGGGGTTCAAGTGAAAGTGCAAAAAGTGCTGGCCTTAGCGGGCAACCTTGGCATGAGGATCTGGTAACAGGAAAAAGAGAATAGGATAATTGCCCAGTGAGCACCAGGGCAGAAGGGTTAGAATATAAAACTTTAACCATATGTATGAAGCCATCACCGAAAGCCATCCTCTCCATAACAGACCACAAAAATGACCATTCAAGTCTATCGAAAGCTTTCATTGCGTCAAGGGAAAGTACAGCTATAAGGGTATTTTTATCTGCAGCTGCATCAAAAACATGAAGAAGGCGCCTAACGTTATCAGTAGCTAATCTTGATTTAATGAACCCAGTCTGATCACAGTTAACTAATTCTGGCATAAAATTCTGAATGCGATGGGCAAGCACTTCAGCAAAAATCTTAAGATATGTGTTTAACAGACTTAGAGGTGTATAACTAGCACAGTCTAACGAATCTTTGTCTTTTTTCAGCAATAGGGAAATTAGAGCAATGTTCACATCCCTAGAGAAGGTGCCTTCTTAAACTGAGGTTGTTATCATATCCCAGAGTAAGGGACCAAGAATATCCCAGAAAGCTAAGTATAATTCAGGGGGTATCCCATCCAACCCCAGTGATTTATTTTTTTACATAAAAAGTGCTACCTCTTTCAGTTCCTCCAAAGATATGGGAGCATCAAGGTTGATGGAATTGGCTGGCCCCAGCTGTGGTAAATTAAGTTGTTCGAGAAAATTGCTGCATTTATTTTTATCAAACTGTATTTCTGACTGATACAGCTTAGCATAAAATGTATGGAAAGAGCCATTGATCTGTTTGGGATCAGTTGCGATGTTGCTGTTTGGGGATTTGATGGCAGATATGTCTGCAAATTGTTCACAAGATCTGATTTTTAAGGCCAAATGATGACTGGGTCTATTCCATCCATCCATTTTCTATACACCGCTTAATCCTCATTAGGGTCGCGGGGGGGCTGGAGCCTATCCCAGCCGACTTAGGGCGAAGGCAGGGGACACCCTGGACAGGTCACCAGTCTATCACAGGGCCACACTTAGAGACAGACAACCAAGCACACTCACATTCACACCTACGGACAATTTAGAATCACCAATTAACCTCAACATGTTTTTGGATGTGTGGGAGGAAGCCGGAGAACCCGGAGAGAACCCACGCTGCACGGGGAGAAAACTCCACGCAGAAAGATTCCAGTGCCCCCACCGGGACGCGAACCGGCAACCTTCTTGCTGCGAGGCAACAGTGCTACCAACTGCGCCACCTTGCAGCCCTGACTGGGTCTAGCGCTAAATAATAACGCTGCCTTGTGCAAAGATGTATGTCTTGATGGTGCAAACATGAAAACACCTCCATGTTTGCAACACAAACACACAAAACCAAAACACTTTTAAATAGTATTAAAGTGTAATAAATTGTGTGCATGATTATTACATGGCCTGTGTGAAAAAAAAGACAAGCCTCAGACCTTAAGTCACCAAACATGCCTCAACTTTATTAAAGGAGAAAAAAGAACATTTCCGACACATACGGACTCCAAAAAACAACAATTTCTGACAATTTTGGTTGTGTCTGTGTTTAAAAATAAGTTTGAAAGTTTTTGAAGATTCAGGGTGGCATCCACACACACCCTGTTCTTCATTCCGTGATAATTTAATATGCTATTAAGCATTGACACCAAAAGTAAAGAAAAAAAAACAAAACAAAAAAAAAACAATTACAACAATAGAATCTTTAACGCTTTAACTCTTTATCTTGCAAAATATCAAACTTATTATGTGTGTAAACGTTATACAACATAAATGATTGAATAATGATCATAATACATATCTTATTGATTGACAAGTGATAATGATGTTTGTGTCCAAACCCACTGTGACTGTACTAAAGAGATTAGGATTGTTTACATCAGACTGAGGCCACATCATAGAGTGAAATGAAGGATCATGAGTTCTTGTCCTCGTCATCCAATGACACAGCAACCAATATGGATACAAACACGATTACTCTTGCCAGTAGCTTAGTCATGAAGGGTAAGTTGTGATGCAGTAGCTCTGCTGTATTTCTGTCTTCACTCTGTTGCAGAATCCTCTTGGCCTCTTCAAACCTTCCATTGCTGTATAACGATCCTCCATTTACTGCCACCATCTCATCAATCTTCTGGATCAGCTCCACCACTTGAGTTCTGTTCTTGTTCTTGTTGTTGAAGACATGAAACCTGTTGCCGCACCTGTCCAGCAGCTCTCTGAGTTTCACATGGCCGGTTAGCAGATAGTCATGTATGGTTGTGCCCTGCTGACTCAGCTTGTCACCATGAGTGAACAAGACGATCATGTAGTTCGATGCCTTCGGTCCAAACATCTTCTCCAGGGCCTGCACACAGTTTTGTTCTTCTGTGGTGAACCTGCCGATCTGAACGACCAGCAGAAAGACGTGAGGGCCTGGAGAGGACATGTAGATGCATTTTGCGATCTCTTTCTTTATGTGTTCTGCACTTTTAGACGTATCCAGAATTCCAGGCGTGTCGACCACATCGATCTTTCTGGAACATTCAACTCTTTCTATCTTGCAGGTCTCCGTCACCGACTCTGCACTCTCAAGGGACTTAAAAATTTCTTGATTTCTTCCCAAGATGGTGTTACCACTGGCACTCTTCCCAACACCAGTTTTCCCAATCATCACAATCCTCAGAGGACGACCTGCAGAAAGACACAAACTCTGTTTAGACCTGATGAAGTTCTTGGATGGAAATAAAATCAATCATAAAGTCAGGTGTGATAGTTACTGAATGCTGACTGCAGTATAAAGAGAACTGAGAGTCTACATAAAAGATCCTGCCTCACCATCGGGGATTGAGGATTTGTTTCCCATCTCTGCTCTTGATTTCTGGAGAATGAACAGAAGCACAGCTCTCCACTGTTGTGGCATGAAGCAGTTTTCAGCGCTCCACCCACAGGGTGGATCCAATCTCTCAGAGTATTTCAGTCAGAGTCCGTCTGATCAAAGCTGATTCAGAGACTCTTGTGACACCTGCACACTGTTTGTTGGTCTTTAGGCAGCTGACAAGATGAGTTCTACCAAACCTTCACGTAAGTGACTCTGATTTACTGAGTTTTTTCCTCCTTACCAAGGCCTGCTACATCTATGATCTACTACAGCACTAAACATTCTGTAAAGATGACAGACTGTGTTTAATATTGAAAAATCACAGATTAAAATTCTTCTTGAAATCTTGTGTTGGGACTTTCTTAGCCTTGGGTTCAGGACTCCAGGAGAAGTTAGTCAGAAACAGATTAGTCACAACATTAGTTTTGTTATTCAACCATAATATTAACATTTAGGAGGAACTTCTTTTTTGAGTGTTCAAGTGTTTCATGTTAAAATGTATTCTAATTGTGTTGTTTAGTTATATTGTGACATAGAACTACATTAATGTGTTTGTTACTCTGTGTTCTTGATTAACTCAACACCTAATCTTGGTAAATGTGTATAAATTCTCCATAATGTTAAATCAATTAACTGCTTATTCCAGTAATTTGGTTAAGCCAAAACAGGTAAAAGAGTTTATATTCTTTTATTATGACTTTATCTGTTTGATGAAGAAATTAGCTTCTCCTCTGCTTTCTAACTTCTAATTATTATGTCGTATGAATATTATATTTTTGTCTTTATTATACAATCAGGAAGTCTTTTTTTTTTTTTTGGTTTTCACAAGAACCACTTGTCACAGAATCTACAAATTAAAACATTAATTCCCTTCAGGAACATAAAGACATGGTTTACTGCACTTAAATATCTAGAAATAATCCACAAACAGTTCAGTCTTATCAGAAAAGATTGTAAAATATTGTTTCTCTGACTGTTTTCCTGAAGCAGACAAGGCAGAGGATCCAGAGTGGACATGTGTTCATGGTTCTCTATCTATAAACTAGACTGAGACCTGTGCATTAGAATTAAAAAACAAAAGGTGATCAGTGGCAGGTGACATTGCAACCACATTTTATAGAATACTAAGAGTTATATAACATTGTTGTTTCAACAGAAAATCCTGAGAAATTCACCATCGCTCTGCTTTGGAAGAACCCCGCGTTTAACAACAAGATGAAACATCTCATCCTCAGTAATGATAATGGTTCTGTCAAAACATTAAATGACTTTGTTGTTTTAAAGAGTCGCTCATTCAGAATCATCAGTACTCGTGATTTCTGTGATGAGGACTGTCCATATCCAGACCAGCAGGTGATTGACTTACTAGCACATTGTTATTCTGGCCTTCATCTGTTCATACTGGCAATAGATTCAGAAAATGTTCAGGTGGAAAAAATTGGTTCTCAAATTAGGAAATTTCAAGATATCTTTGGACAAACTATCACAGAACACTTAGTTGTCATGTTTGATAAGTATATGAGCAACACGTCACTCGATCAGCTGAAGGAAACGTTCAATATCGAGCTGGGAACCCTCAGTGAACATCTGGTCCACGACTGTATGAAGTGGTGCAAAACCCGTCCGGTATTCCAGTATCACTACAGAGACTACAGTGAAGAAGTCGTGAAAAGAAGGAAAAACGATTTGAAATGGACAAGGTAAAGACATCAACATTTGTTATGTGTAATTGATGTGGACAGTAAGTCTCATGTTATGAAGCTTGTGTTCCTCTGAGTATTTTCTAACGGTGGGTTTCTGTGGAGTTGTGTCAGGAAAGGATGCAGTTCTTCTAGTGTTTCTGACACAACTTATGGGTTGATGGTCACTGATACCCAGAGGAACAACAACAATGGCAGACTAATTGAGCGGTTTGTTATAATGTGATCTATTTTTGCAGAAAAGAGCAAATGTCTCTGAGTTCATCAGATCTGTTAGGTCTCCATATTAAATAGTTCACAAGATGCATAACTTGACCACAAGCGCTCCTCCAAAACCTCAGTGATTCAGACTGAACGGGTATTTTCTCCAACACATACTTCCAGAGCAACATGGGCAAATTTATGAAGAGGTTTTATTTGTTGATATTAATAAACCACATCCTGTTCTTTCCTTACATAGATAAATTAGTTAAATCCAGTCATAGGTTTGTCTCCATCATTGCATATTGCAATTGTCTGTGTCATGAGAGGATGAACATTTCAGGTGTATTTTTTTTTTGTTTTTTTTGTTTAAATAATTTTATTTATTTATTTTTGCCTTTATTATAGTGGACAGTGGAGAGGGAGACAGGAAACGTGGGGAGAAGAGTCGAGGGAGGACATGCAGCAAATGAACCACTGGCCGGACTCAAACTGTGGCCGCTGCGTCAGGGACTTTCAGCCCCTGTATGGGGGTGGACCACGCAACCCACCGAGCCACGGGATGCTCTCTTTCAGGTGTTGTTTTTTTCTTTTTTTTCAAGTTATTTTTTTGGCCTTTGTGCATTTATTTGATAGAGCAGTGAGAGAGAGACAGGAAGGTGGGGGAGAAGAATGGGGGCAGGACATGTGGGAAAGGGTCATGAGCGGGATTTGAACTCATAACCACTACATCAGGACTGTAGCCCTGTACTTGGGATGCCAGCCCAACCAGGTGAGCTATAGCGGTGCCCCTCAGGTGTTGTGTTGTTCTAATAACCATAGAGTCAATAATCAATACAGCAGTAGATACCAGTTTCTTTTCCTGCAAAATAAAGCAGTACCATGATTTATCTTTCCAGAAACTTCCTTTTGCTGAGAAAATCCACTGAAAACACAAGCTAGCTCCAAAAGAGGGCAGGATTTACACTGTCAACAGATGCATATGTGATATTATGTTAGGTATAAGTTTGTTGTAATCTATATTATGATTATTGTTTCAGAGACGCAGACCCTCCTCCGTGTAACCATGAGAGATCAGGTGAGTCTATGCTCTACACATATGTTGGAACAGTAGGTAGTATTATGAATACTATCATTAGCAATTAGAATAATAAATACATAAAAAATAACTACATTTAAAAAAAATACACATTGGCACTAATTTAATCCACCGAATGTTTGGGGTCAACAAACAAATTTAACACAACAGTTTGCATCAGTCGTTTTGAGTTATGACAATTTCTAATGAAATTCAATTTAACTAACAAACTATATTCAGTTAGAGGTAGAAGCTTTTCTGCTACAATCCAAAGGATTTTTAATTGACTGACTGAAAGGTCTGAAGTTAAGATAGTGGAGAAGAGACATGTTTGTGTAGGTTCACAGTCATCCAAGTCACAGGAATTGTAAATACTTTAGTAGAAGTTAACTGGACTTCTTTGGATAACTGTGACATAAAATGTCACAAGTATTGGATCATTGTTGTTGTTTTTATGAACAATAACTCATGTTTTAGTTATATTTGCTGATACCTGTGTCATTTACATTTCAATCCTGCAGGTCCCCACGCTGCTTCATCACGTGAGTAACACCTAAAACTTTTCATTATTTTGTACTTGTTTTGTAGAACGTCACTATTGTGTTATTCATGATGCACAATGACAGTAACTCCTCATATTTAGGCTTAACTTAGACTGCCAGACATTGTTGCTTAAAAATACATTCTCTCTCAAAAAAATTTTGCTTTAAAAGTTCTACATACTTCAATGTTTGTCCTCTGTAATGCACAGATGTGTGTTTTTGTTGTAAAATATGTGCCTGTTACACTTCTCCTCAGGTCCAGCAAACTTGCAAAGTACCAGCAATGTACGTACAGAAACAGAACCAGAACAAACCATTGGTATGTTTTAGGAGATAAAACACAACACATATAACCAATTCTAAAAAGATAGAAACTCTGGTTATTTTTATTTTGCAGTATCCCTTTGCTAATTAAGAAATTCAGAGGTAAAGTAAAGTAATATATCTAAGAGTTTCATGATTCCTTTCAAAGCTGATCCCACCCACAGAAACTGTTGGTAACTGTTGATGAAATAACTGGAAATTTATACCAACTGGTTCTTTCAGGTGAGAGCAATGGTTTAAGGTCAGGAGATACATTCAACATTGTTCTGCTGGGACTGACTGGGACTGGAAAGAGTGCATCTGGAAACACCATCCTGACTGCTATGAACCCCCATCTGAAACCAAAGCAGCTTTTTGAATCCCGGCCGAGCTCCATACCAATCACCACCAAGTGTCAGTTCAAAACGATACGTAGTCTTTACAGCAGGCGGGTTGGAGTGGTCGACACCCCAGATTTCTTGAATGATGAAATAAACGATCAGGCACAAGTAGAGGAATGTAAGAAGTTCTGTCAGCCAGGGCACTATGTGGTGTTACTGGTGATACAGATGGGCCGGTTTACAGAAGGTGAGAAGGGAATGTTAGAGAGGCTGGAGATGAAGCTTGACTGCAGAATCAGGGAGAACACAATCGTCCTGCTGACACATGGAGAGAATGCAAAAGGCAATGTTCAGAGTTTCATTGATGAACGCTCTCACCTCAGGCACATTGTGAATGAATGTGGAAATCGCTGCCATGTATTCAAAAACACCTCCAAGGAACCAAAACAAGTCATGGAGCTCTTCAAAAAAATTCCAGATTATGAAACAATCTTCCCAGAGTTCACAGAAAAACAATCACTCATAGGCTGCCGTGTGGGTTAACTTGATTCAGACTGAACATCCAAATAACAAACTGCTTCCAGCCTCCGTGTACCAGTCTGTGCAATGTTTGAAGTACAAGTGTGATCTGTTGATGCTGTGTGAACCTGCAGTTAAGGTGTCGTATGTGTCAAGATCTGCCTGTATGTGCTGTACATATTTGTATATTTTATGTTTATACATAATTGTATTGGATGTTAGTTTTATCACTGTGTGTTCTGAGAAAAGTCCAAAACACAGCTGGGCAGCAGTCCTGCTGTGTTATGTCAAATGGTTTTGTTAGTTTACTGTAGAAATTTAGAAAAATGATAAATTTGCTGTTTAATTTCTGCTTTTTCTGTGATTGATGTCTCAATCAAAACTAGATTAATCATTGAGCTGATAAAGGGAATGCAGTGAATAATAAAACTAAACTTAATGCATCACTCTGTGAAGTATTGATCAACTGTGATAATTCATCATTCCATTACTTTTTATAACTTCAATAAATATGAAACCCTATTTCACTTTTTACATAATTTCTATAAAGCAGTGGTTTTAAATATATCGTTGACTTGTTTGATTTTGTAGTTAAAACAAAATAAAGAAATTTTGTGAGGTTCTAACCTTTAAAGTTTAAAGACATAAACTGTGAGACTCATTTAATCATGGGGTCATTTTTAGGTTTTTCATACATTTCCTTTTTATCATTTTGGCTGTGTTAATGCATATGGAATAAAATGTGGTAAAGGTCTGTCCCTGCTCCCATCTAAAATACACTGCGTACAGAAAAAACAATGTCAGTATTTAAAACAATTAAAACTTCTACTTTCTATCCTCATATTTTGCTAATGAAGCATTCCTCATTGTTTAAGTTATAAATAGTTGTTTACATGACCTAAAAATTCAGACGTGAGATTCTGTAATTTTATACTGTTCAGAGAAATAATGCATCAGTATCAATGTTGTTTCTAGCCACTGACACATCAGAGTGTGATAATAAATAGTATTGAGCATATAAAACATGATTTAAATCATTCAGTCACACAGTCGCATACTGACACACTAGGACCCCGTTTTACAGGAAGACGTGAGTACTTGTACACACCAGTTTTGGGAAACCCACTATCTGGGGACCCCCTTCATAGACAGCAGCGTTCATCAGCATACGAGGACGAAGTCAGAAAACACTCATACACACCCCGTTTTAAGCATTTAACCAGGAGAGATGAGGGGAAATAGGCAATATTGAGTTCGAATTCAAGTTTTTTCAGTTTTGCAGAGAATTGCTAAACAAAAAGAAATATAGGATATGTATAACAAAGGAAAGTAATAACAACAATAATAATAATAATAATAATAAACTTTATTTATATAGCACTTTTCAAAACACGGGAACAAATTGCTGTACAGATTCAAAGAGAAGTGTAAGGAAAACAACATTAAAGGAAGTGAAAAGCAAAAAATACATAAAAAAATAAATAAATAAACTAGAAAATTTCCTTGCAGAAAATTTGAGAGTGGCACGGGAGTGTGCCGGGATTTAAATGATGATTTTATAATTACCAAACCTACTAAACACTTTGAACAACCTAAGCCTCATCTGTGTGGAGAGAGCAGAGAGGGGAGGGAGCAGGGGGAGAGGGGGGGTTGGGAGGAGGGTCAGAGCGTTGCCGGGCAACGAAGCACACAGCTGCAACAGCAGCTAGTCAGATTTTCCTGTATGTTTCATAGCGTATAGTATGGGTATATATTTTTGAAGATATTTGTGAAGCTTTAGACTGATTTATTGAATACCTTCCCAGAAAAATACTCCCCATCGACCCACTTTCAGGAGGTTTATTCTCACACTGAAATTCGAGACAATATCTGAGGCCGCCCTTATAGCTCACCTAGTTGAACAGGTGATCCATACACAGGGGCCATAGTTCCCCAACGCATCCATTATCTATACACCGCCTAATCCTCACTAGGGTCATGGTTGGCGGAGTCTATCCCAGCTGACTCAGGGTGAAGGCAGCTTCACCTGGACAGGTAACCAGTCTATCACAGGGCTACACTTAGAGACAGACAACCAAGCACACTCACATTCACACCTACGGACAAT